GTTTTTTTCACAGGTTACATATCACATGTACTGCTGCTGGGCATAGGGACTGTTTTAGCCAATATGACAAAAAAGTGATTTTTAAAAACTTACAGACTTCAGCTTTAAAGCCTGCTTTAAACTTCACTACAACTAATCCTCCCATCTACTGTGTTCCTTGGTCTTTATGATGCTGTTCGTTCGCAAATGATTTACAACAAACCTTTAAAGCTCTCGCAAATCAGATTTACTTATACTGAGATAACATTAAACATCGGTGGACTTAAATATTGAATAAGGGGACTTGTTGAGATATTTAGTTGTATTAGGATGTTTATTTAATTTATCAGGTTAAAGGATGTATGTGCTGATTCATACAACAATTTTCAAATTTTGTTGAAAAATTTGAAGCATTGAAAAACAGGTTAAATTTCCCTTCCATTTAATGTTTGTGTTAGTTTGCCACATAATCAACCAATAAAATACATAATTTGTGGTTGCAGCTTGTAAAACTGTGAACAGATTAAAGAGCTATAAACTTAAACAAGGCATTGTAGATCGATAGGGTTGTTCTGGGTGTTTGTGTATTTTTTCTCCTACCAATGGTGGTGATGACAGTTCCGGCGAAGAAGAAAGCAGAACTCAGGTCCCACAGGCTGCTGTGATTGGTCAATGTTCCTGCAGGGTTCACCCCAGATCGGACAGCAGACACAACTTGCTAGAAACAGAAAAGGTTTCATAAGACTCCAAAAACAAACCTTGCAGCTTTAATACTGCTCTAACTTACTTGATATATCAATACAGATATAAAGGCACATGGTTGTGTCTATCTATTAATATAATAAAATATTAAAACACTGTGTATGAAGCTGGAAATGGAGGAAAACTGAAGATGACATTGAAAACATGTAGCTTTGGTCCTTCAACAGAGTTGGATCTGATAACAGACTTTCTATGGCTCAGCTGTTTGTCAATCAGTCCATATAAATCTGGAGCTGTCCATGGTTCTGAAAGAGGCATAGCATAACTTGCATTTTAAGTCCAGTTTAGTTTGCTAAAGACTCTCTTTCAGACTTAGCAAGCACATTTAAACAAAGAAAATATATGTGGTGAATATTTGAGAGATGGCAACGGACCTGCTGTAGTATGTTAGCATTTTAAGTGTACCCCGACTTACCTGAACCAGCTCCTCCAGCTGGCTCTGGTTAACACAGGTGTGTTCAGACAGGAACTCTAGCTTCTGGGACAGGATGGCCAGACGCTGGGCACTAAAAGAGTCAGAAACATAGCTTTATCCTTAATGTTTTTGAAAGAAAAAAAAACAAGTCCCTCTAAAAAGATATTTTATGAAGATAGACTAAATTGATTCTGTTGGGGGAAAAAAATCAGTAACAAGGGCTTTTCAAATTAGGCAAAGGAGGATTTTTTTTCTAAAGTCTGGCATTCAAAATTATGACACATGTTGTATTGAACAACTTTTAAAACCCTTTTATTTTATATAAATGAGGGTCTGAAAATGTTTATTTTGCATTTGTGACTGTGTGAAAAGCCATATTTGCTCTGATACTTATTATATCATAAATAATAAAAAAAAAAAAAAAGTGACTCCATCACGTTTCTCACTTTGCTCACATTATTTACAGTCTTTTCTAAGGGTACCATCATTTAACATTTAATTTTTCTTCTGGATTAATAAAGCTAAATTGAATTGAATTCTCCAGGCCTGTTAAATGAGTTTTTATTTTTAATTCTTTTTGTTGAAGTATGGTTAAAAAGCAATATCTTCATATAAATTTTCTTTATTTATAACAACTGATTTAATTTAGAGAAGGAAAATAACAATTTTTACATAATATAATTACAAATCTGTTAACAGAAAAAATTGTCCCATTAAATACAGTTTGATGTCAGTGTTTTTATTATACATTTTTTTGTGTGTATTTTTTTTTATTCTTCTGATTATGAGCCACTTAGTTTTGGAGTTATACATGGAATCCTTCAAAAATTTGTTTTAGTTGTTATGTGACAGAATTTAAAAAGTACCTGGCATTTTTTTAATGCACTATTAAGCCACACCATTAAAACTACTGGCAGAAGATAAGGTCTGCTCTCTCTTTTCTTCTCCAACAGATTGTGATTTTTTTATTGCAGTGATCCGTTTAATTCTAATGTTGGGCATGGGGAGTAGTAGGTAAATAAAGACAGATGCCCACCTCTCATGAGGCTGCTCCAGGGATCTGAAGACTGCTGCTCCTATCACCAGGTAGAGAACCACCAAGAGAAAGATGGCGGTGACTGTCTTCCACTTCATCACTGTAGCCACAACCTGCTGTGTAAGCAACGCACAAGAACACGGGATGTGTCCACCATTTAGTTGTTTTCTTTCTTTCTTTCTTTCTTTCTTTCTTTCTTTCTTTCTTTCTTTCTTTCTTTCTTTCTTTCTTTCTTTCTTTCTTTCTTTCTTTCTTACCTCACTTTCCTCCTTAGGACTCAGTGTGATTGGCTTTGTGGAGAAGGAGAGGCGGGGCTTCGTGTTGTGAGTGGCTGATTTTGGGTCCAATAAGTCTGGAGCAGCCACTGTTAGGAGAGAAAAAAAATGCATCATTATAATTTACATTCTATGCATGTTTGGGGCTATATGGAGAGTATTTGAGTGAAGATTCAAATAGAGCTCTAGTAATAAGAAATAATTCTGTATATCTCAAAATGTAGGGATGAGACAATCAATGTTTTTGTCTAATAAACCTCACATTGAGATGCTTTCGTTTATTATTTTATTCCACTATGTATGGGATTCTACAGGGATCCGTGCTTGGCTACAATTATTTCTCATTAAAATCAATGTCTTCCCACTTGTATTAAATTTATATAAAAAAAAAAAAAACAGATCCATCTATCATTCATCTTAATTTACATCTTATCAGCTGATTTAGGATGTTGCCATTGGATATGCCTTTGCTTAACACAACTAATTCAGATTATTTCAATTGTCATAGAATCTCTTTTGCTATGTTTTAAAATGAATAAGAAAATAACAGAATTTATCAACTGTTACATTTGTAGAGCATTTTGTCTTGATATTTATGTAAACCCTTGCTGATAATACATCTGTTTTTAGTACTCCTACTGACTTGTCTTAAACTATTGACACAGTTGATCAGTAAATGGTAAATTGATTCATTTGCATGTTTTTTTTCTCTGTTTTCACATCATTGTTGTTAAATAAAACATGCACTTAAAAAAGTTTCTATATAGAGTTGTACCTCTTATAGTGATAAATTACTGCACAGGGATGCACGCAAGGTTAACAATGTTAGTGACTTGCTATATTCTTTAATACCCTGAAACCAATAATATTTGATGACAAATTATTCATGCTATTGCACTGATTTAGATAGAGATTGTTTGTTTGATTGCATATACTGCATGTTTCAAAGAGAACATAGGACAATATAACAAATCCAGTTATGTTATCCTCTGTGGTTGCAATTATACTTCAAATACTTTAATAAACTTTCCAATTAATCTTTTAGGTACTTCAGTAGTCCTCAAAAAAGTATTGTTGATTAGAATCTGATCTGAGTAAAAAATTCTGCCTTCAATAATTTAATTTGTCCGTGTATTTACAATTGTTATATAGTTTTGAAAAGCATTTTTCCTTCAGCTCATTATAAACTTTTAGGTATTTTTAAATTATTTCTTCAGGATTGCCACCCAGTTGATCTGTAATTTTGCCTCCTTTAAGAGAATAAATATTTTTGCTCAATAGTAAGGGACTTTTCGTCAACATTACAAGGTTTGTTTCAGGATGAAATCATTATCAGTCTCATTAAACTTGTCTTTGAACCTTAAATGTCTATAACTTCTCGCAAGTATTGACTAAATTTTCCCAAAGATGTAAACATTTTTAACTATGGAACAGATTTAACCCCTCTTATAAACAACATGTTTTATATTAAAAAAAAAAAAGTGTAAAGAATAAGAAGCTGATCCTGTTAGGTTCTACTATAAGTTCAATGTAAAACTTTTAATTTTTTTTTTCCAGGATTAAGAAGGTTTGTCTACCTTAGAAAAAAAGTGAGTAAATTTAGGAATATTTTGCTAGATTGACAAAGGAACCTGTAGCTCTCAGATAGGTAATAGAGTGCAGGGAAGTGAAGTTTCTGGTGAACATATATTTTTATATACAAACAATGTCACCAAATAAATACGCCTGTTTTACTCCAGGTCCAAAACTGTGATTTTTTATTTTATTTTTCGCATAACAAAGCGTCTTTACTTACTGGTTGTTGTTGGCTATCCAATACCCTCCGCTCTCCTCTTCTCCTCACCCGAAGCTCTCACTGCGTTGCGGGGAATCTTTCCTCCTATGCGGGGAGGGCGGGAGGACTGGCGCTCCGTTGTCCCTCTGCTTCTTTTCTTGAATCTCACACTGGTGCAACAGAGTTGGACGGGTTTCACTTTAGTAGGTGTTTTGGAGTTTCTCGGTACAAACTTTGCCTGCTCTCTGTCTGTAGCGGTCCCAGCTCTCCAACAGCTGCTTCGCTCAGGTGCCTTATTGCATATGGGAGGAGGAGGAGCAGCAGAGGTGGTCCCCAAGTTTGGTGATGCCCTTACCACCTGATAGTAGCTGTATAATGTAACCACATTTCAAAAGCTTTGGACCATTATCTATCGTTTCTGCGTGTTGTTCTCTTAAAGTTTTTTTTTTTAAATCGTGGAGTCTTGCTAAACTAGGCTATTTGCTTTATTCCCTCATGTCTGCTAAGCTCCATTCATCCCTCAGCAAAAAGTAGTTTATTCAGTATATTAAAAGTGCACTAATTTCATACTTAAAATCAGGCAGTGCACTTAGAGTTTATTTATTCTAAACTATATTTCATATACTTAACAATAGTAGATTCAAGTGTACTTGATTATTCTATTGTTTACTTTATTGTTTACTAAAGTATACTTTAAGTATACTTTAGTAAACTTAAAAATGTCCAAATTTAGTTTGAAGAAGTATTACTTTAGTAATACTTCAAGTACACTAAAAGTACATTGTTTGGTATACTTTCTAAACTTATATTTAAGTATTCAGTTTTCTCTTTATTATTTACTAATCAACTCTGTTTATTAAAAAAAAAAATCTTTTTTGTTCATGCCTTGCTGCTCCTTGGTTCATAATTAGTTTTTCTACTTCATGTCTTACCAGCCTGTAGTTTTGCTAGTTAATTTCTTGACTTTTTCTTTAAATCATATTTTCCACTCAGCGATTTGCTCCTGTCTGCCTGCTTGTTCTTTGGTTCCTGCTCCCAGAACCAGAGCTTTACACAAACTTCTTCTTTCAATATCTCAGGATTGTCAATTATTCTTCATGCTTTCTGGAGATCTTTTAACATTTAGTCATGTTGCCATCAAAAGTTTTACCAAATTTTCTGTTTAGTTTCTTCTCAGATCCAGATAAATACACTTTGTATGTTAAGCTACTCTGAACATGAACCAATAAAAGCATAAAAAGGCTCCAAAACACAAATAATAAACCAGTAGTATTTATTTGCACAGTCAATAAGGGCAATGGCCCAGGTTGGCTTTGGGAATAGGGCATCTGACCATGACCTAAAAAGCAACCCTAACCCTCAAATGTGAAGTGGACAAAAGTTGGTTTGGGGGCATTAACTTAGGAAACATTGTTTTTTCTTTATTTCTTTAGATTAAAGGAATAAACCCCCCAAAATAAAGGTAACAAAGTTTAACAATAATCATAAAGACCCATGTTTAGCAAAAATATTCTATCAATTTTTGCAAATTTATTCAGAAAACAAAATATTTGGGAGGTATTTATATTACAGACATACTTCATTTTTGTCTGTCACAAGATAATAGAACGGGGAAACAGGAACAGTGTTATTTTCTCGATCTGCTTAATTTGTTTCATCTCTGAAGATAGAGTTAATGTGTCTTGAAAATAAGTTGCAATTTTGTCTTAATGGTCCATAGAACATTCTCCCAGAAGCTTTGTGGCTTGTCATTATGTCATTTGGCGAATTCCAGTCTGGCTTTTTAATTATTTGTTTTCAACAGTGGTGTCCTCCTTGGTTGTAAGTCCACTTTGGCTCAAACAATAATGGATGGTAAAATCTGACACTGTAGCCACATCCACGAAGGTTGGCTAGAGTCCCATGGATCTTACATTTATGAGTAACATGTGTAAGTGTATTTATAGAAACATCAAACTGCTTGGAGATGATTGTACAGCCTTTACCTTCAACATGCTGGTCTATCATTTTCTTTCTAACCATCATTTTGGTCCAGGCCTGTTTCATGAGCTTATTTTTTCAAATAATTTTATTGAAGCATGATTGAAAAGTAATATCTTACTTTCATTTGTTAATTTTACAGAATCTTTGTTTATTATGACTTTGCCAGATTCAAGTTGTTTCTGTGACCATTGAGGTCTATAATTGTTATTTAAAATTTATAAGAAATACCATTGTGAAAAGTGTTGTATGCATTTGCTTTACTTCCCTGAAGATTAGTTCTTGAATGTGTCAGGACTCAGAACAGAGGACTCAGAATTCAGACAAGACAGACAGTGGAAAAACCTAAAGCGTGTATTTAAACCAGCAGGTCTGCAGAAGCAGCGTTTAGGGCATCTATCACAGGAATGTCTGTGCCCAGAAAACGAGGATGATTCAAGCGGTCGGCCGACAGGAGGCAGTGAATGCTGCCAGAGAGTTCCAGAAACTGACGCCTATATCAGACCCGATCTGACAAAGGAAAGCAGCGTAATCCACAGATTGAAGTCTAGAGGCAGATCCAGGTTCACTCTACAGAAGAGTCCAACAGGAGTCCAAAGACAGGTCAGGCAAACAGATCAGACAAGGGCAGGCAGGCTCATAAAGTGAAACAGAAACAGGTCATGATCAGGCAAACACAACACTATAAGTAAAGCTTGAAAACTCTCTACACCTATGGCTCAAGTATAATTAGCAACTGATGGCTTGGACCAAGGGGTTTAAATAAGAGCAGGAGCATGTGAATCAAATGAGCAGTGATGTAAAACATGGCAGAGCTAGACAGGTTAATAAAATGAGCAATCAAGCCAGCAACCAGCACCAAAATCATGACAGAATGGTAACTAGAGTCACTATTCAATGCCATTACAGCTGCAGGTCTATTGACATTTGTTGCTATTGGGTTTGCAAAATTTGTGTTCTGTTTTGCCAGTATGGCTCAGGGAATAGATGTCCCAGAGCTAGAAGATAGCCCAACAGCTTTGCTTTCACAAGCAGACCATTAAGAGTATAGCCATAAGGTTCTGCTTAGCACATGTATATGAAGCTTTAATAAAAAGAATTTTGTAAAATCATATACAATGGACACAGAGACGGAGAGCGAGGTGAGCAAGAAAGAGTCGTAAGAACTAAAGGGAGACAGAGGCAGGAAATAGCGAATGAAAAGAGAGAAAATAAACAATGAACAATATATAGTAGCTCCCCTCACTCACCCTACAAGGTCGAGGACCAATAAAGACACAACCAGAGCCCCAGATATCTCTCAGGCACCCCAGATCACTGGGAGAAAAGGAGGACAAACATAGGGATGGCAGCACCCACTAGAGAAGGGCAGACAAGAGCACTGACCTCTGAGGGGACAAACCTGAAAAAGGCCAAGTCCCTTAGGGGCCTGACCCAAGAGGCAATAGTGCCAGGGTCCCACAGGGCCGCGGCAAAAGAACCATGTTCTTTGCAAATAGCTCAAGTTTAGTCAGATTTGATTGAGGGAATCTCTGAACATGCATGAAGCCTTTTTTATATATTCTCATTTAAACTTAAAACTGGACTTTGAGCCATCAGTGCAAATATTTCACCATAATGATCATGCTTCAACCTTAACCAGTCTAACATAGCTCTGGCTTAAGTTTGGGGTCATCATCCTAATAAAAAGTTAACATAAATCCCAGTTGCCAGATTTATGCAGCGTCCGACAGGTATTCTTAAGTTATTGCATTTTACATCTTTACTATATCCAACACATTCAACTTGTGAACAAGCCAAAATGCATTTTCCTTTCAAATATAGCACCACTTAAAGATATATAAACAGACTTTTAAGTGGCATGAGATGTATTGCAGCAAAGCATTGTTCCAACAATCAATTAACCAAACACAAATTTATCCTACTACAGTTAATATACTAGTTTATTTTATAAATATATTCTTGTTCCCATAGTAAAACAAAGTATCTTGAATGTACAAAAAAGCTGCAGAGGAGTCTCTAATATTTAACCAGAGTAGGTGTTGTAAAGCAGCTGTTGGTGAATGCGGAGCTGCTTTATTATCACACTAAATCCCAGCAATCTAAAACATCCTATTTACTTTGGGATATTGACTTATATCACTATGGTCACACTGTCAGCCCCGACTTTCTTTCCAGATTCCTCAGAAATTAAAGGAGAAGATAAACAAAAAAATGGTTTACACAATTTATAACACTGTCTTTCTACTACATTGGTGTTCTGTCTTGTACATTTTGATGAGAGTTGTTGATGCAATACATAAATAATACTTCTGAGGACAGTGAGGGTGGAAAATGACAGAAATATATTCATTTAAAGGCCTTTTTAAATCAACTATTGGGTTCCTTGCTTTTTTTACAGGCTGTCTGTGTCCAGTTCAACCAGCGTCCAAGACTGAAGCCAAAATTTGGCTGCTTTCAGAGGTAAAGACTGTTGATTGCACGAATCCAACTGTAGTTTACTGACTAATTAAGACCTTAAAAGAGGCTATAAACTGTGCTATAATGTGCAAATACTCATGACTCATTTAGTATTTTCGGTTTTTTTTAAGGTTCATCTGCCAAATTTCACTGAACCTCCAAAAACTCAAATAATTGATTTCTCAAGCTCCATTTGTTTTTCCATCTTTCTTCTTCTCCCACTCTGCCAACTGCTCTCACGCCTCCTTCTCTCAGACCCAAATGAGAAATTAATAGCTGCCTAAATGTTAGTGCTTCCACCTCTGAACCCCAACAATTAAAGGTTAATTATGTGCCCACTTGTTAGCTAAACATAGAGCCTGCCTTTGTGACTTTGTGCGGATTCCTGGCTTGCCTGCTATAACATGCACACTGACTTAGACTGCACTATTGAACTGTTCTTATCTACAATTTTCAAATGGCAACATAGATAGTGTTTATTGTACATTAGCAAACAAAAACATATTCACCTGATGTATTACAATTGGTAGTTGAGTAAAAGTTAAACAGAGTAAAAGAAAAGGAATACAGTACCACAAACTGTTAATCAATTCTGGTAAAATCTGTCCCAGATTAACAGATACTGAGATATTAAACATATGTGCACAGCTTTCACATACTTTTACAAGGCTGCTAACAATGCAGAAACAATAAACAGAAGAATCCAGTTTTAAGTCACCTCATATACTAATTTATCTGCAGTAACACTGCATGATTTCAACGTCCTAGATCCTCAGGCTCAATGCTTTAA